GTGAGGCTGGCTGAGGCACACTTGGACGCGTCTCGGACGAAGGTCGCTGAGCGGGTTTTTGTCCACTATGCGGGGCAAAATTTTAGCGAACAAAGCGTTCGCTATGCGGATTGTTCGCTATGCAAGGCGTTCGCTATGCGGGGGTCCACTGTATAACCTCTAGAGCGACGAAAATTCTTCCGATTTTACACTAACATTTGTCTTGGCTCATTCAAAACATGGCGAGTCTCCTGCTCGTCAGTGCAGGCACAGAGCTTCCCATTTTTTATAATATATTTTTTATTAAATGCAATATAGGCCATCAATTTACATATAAAATACCATATTTCCGGAAAATATATACAGTATTTTCCACACTACTTCACCTTGAGAATAAGATCAACAACCTTGAACAACAGCTAACATCAACTGGCATGACTGATTTTGGCAAGACCCTCCAAGCAGTCATAGCCAGCCACACAGATCAAATAACTTCCCTAAACAAGAAGATTGGTAATGCCGTCAAAGACTTGAAAATAAACATGGATACCCAATTGAACAATTATTTTGCTAACCAAGATGATAAGGCAGAGCAAAACAGGTTATCTGATGCAGTAGTAATTAACACTCCTCTCTTTCCCAGTGAATTAAACCATTCCAACTGCAAAGATACAACTCTCCAGATCATACGTGACCACCTACATGTTAATGTACCAGTGTCGGAAATAAAAGAATCACGGTTACTAGGGAACCAAGGAAGGAAAAGTGTTATGCTCAGATTTCACACAAAAGACAGGAAAAAAGATCTAATAATTTCATCTGTTTAAAGCAAAAAAAGATATACACATAAACGAGTGTCTCACAAGAAAACGACAAAACCTCCTGTACAGAGTGAGAAAACTAAAATGTGAGAATAATGATAAAATTCACCAGTGCTTTGTACGTGATGGACAAATTCTAGTAAGAAAAACAAATGTAGGCGGTGTGTACTATATTACAAATGAAAATGAACTAGTAAACTTCCTTCATGATGCAAACATTACAGTTTGACTGATGTTAGTGACCAAATCCTTACTACGTTAGTGTATGTTATGTCATTATTGAACTAATCCCTGCACTATCACCTCCTAGATAGTGTTTACTACCTCATTATCTTAGGTGTCCCACACAGTTCTTTGTGTGACCCAATTTGTATTACCTTCCCAGATTCCCAATTCACAATTTATTATTTGTTAATAGGGTACTTACTCTTTATTAATATCTGTATTACCTTTTTCTTTACTACTAAAGCACTGTTAAAATTCTCTTACAAGCATCCCTTTTCTCCCAAACTACAAATAACAAACTAGTGTGTTCCTACTACACTACTGTGCAATACCTTGAACCTTCCCTCACTAGCTAGTATCAACTACCTCAAATAATTTTCCTATAGTGATATTAATTGCTCAAACTTTATGCTATAAGGCAAATCCTACTCTCAGATTATTTTCATATCTTAGTGACTATATTGTGTGTGCAATTAGTGTATATTTCAATTACATTATTGTACAAGGCCCAAAACTATCTTTTGCTAGCTACTACCAACTACCACGTATTATTTTTCCTTTTTATAGTACAATAAATTGCTCAACTTATTATATATAACAAATTGGATCTTACTGCCCAAATCAATATCATATCATATATAGTGACTATCTGCCAATTTAACATTGTTTACCATTATTAATTTAGTCTCTTATATATTTTCTCCTTTATTTTAGCTTTACATAACAGCCTTAGTTCATATATTCACAATTGTTAAAATAATCAAGGTGCTATTCTCAGGTGCTAAAGTGTGATAAGTTCACTATTTTGCCATTATATTCCCTATCTCATTTATTTGATTACCACTTTATTTGTTCACCGCAAATTTTTTTTTTTTTAGTCCCTTTTATATTGTCTCCTTTATTTTAGCTTTAACCCCTTCAGGGTCCAAGGCCAAAATCTGAAGTGGTGCTCCAGTGTCCATGAAATTTTGAAAAAAAAAAAAAAAATTATTTTTTCTTACAGAATTAAAGAGCATATTTTTGTGAAGGTAATAAGACAAAAAAAAAAATCTGATTAGTACTTACTGAGATACAGTGCCAAGAAGTTTGTCGAAAATGATGTGGTGGCGGCAACATCGACGAATTCCACATACGCACATTACATTATTTTGCGGTTTTTTGGTTTTTTCTTTTCTTTTCCAATTTTTTTCTATTCCTACTAACATTTGGGGCCTGAGAGACCAATACTGTATATAATGTATATATATAAACTCACTGTATTGAACACAATAACCGCACTAAAGTTATTATCATATTATTGTTTACCACTGTTGTTTATTACAATAAACATGCACAAATCTTGTATAATACTAATGTTCTATCATATATTTACATATTTACAATCACTGGACATGGTTTTAGAACTGCTGGAGCTTGTGGAACTCCTTGAAACAAGGCACCATGCACAGAGGCACCTTACATTCCTCACACATAAACCGAGTGTCTTTGCGTCTTTGTTGCCGTCTTTTTGTTTGTGCACAGACGATGCATCTCTTCTGAGCAAATTGCTTCTGAGTTGAAGGAAGTTGTATTATGAAATGATCACCTTCCCTCCTCAAACGCTTGGGTATATCCTGAGGAATTCGAGGACCGTGTTGTATAGCAGGTGTTGTTACCTGGTACTTCATTATGAGTTGTCTGACAACAGACAAACAAAATTCACCATATGGTGGTCTGTTGCCAGTCTTTATTTGGTACATATTATATGCATTGAGCATTGAAATGTCCATGAGATGGAAGAAAAGTTATATGTACCACTTGTAACTCATACGAACACAGTCAACAAAACCAATCTGCATGTCACATTTGTCAACCAAGCGCATGTTTTGTGTATAATCAATCACTGTCACTGGTTTTCGAATGCGTTCATTAGTCACTTGATCAACTTTGCCACTGTCTTGCATTTCATTACGGTGAATGGTTGTCAACAATGTGACATCTCGTTTGTCATGCCACCGTAATGCCATGATGTCATTGGCAGTAAACACCTGCACGTCATCACCACGAGCACCTGCGTTGAGCCTGGGCATATGTTTACGATTAGAACGCACTGTGCCACACACATCTGTCTTGTTCACTTGCATGAAATCACTGAGTAATGGGCTTGTGTACCAGTTATCGGAGGAGGAGGAGACCAAACAGAGTTGAATAACTATAGGCCAATATCTAACTTACACCCTCTCTCAAAAATCTGCGAAAAATTAATTCATAAACGAATCTACTCCTACCTTATCTCCCAAAACATACTCAACCCCTGCCAATTTGGATTCAGGCCTAATAAAAATACTAATGATGCTATTATACACATGCTAGAACATATATACACTGCAATAGAGAAAAAAGAAGTCCCACTGGGGATCTTCATTGACTTACGTAAAGCTTTTGATACAGTTGACCATGACTTGCTCCACGTAAAATTGTCACACTATGGTATAAGAGGGCACTCCCTCAACTACCTCAAGTCATACCTCAGCAACAGAAGCCAATATGTGTACGCAAATGGGGCAAACTCTTCTGCACAACCAATTACAGTTGGTGTCCCACAGGGAAGTGTCCTTGGCCCTCTTCTCTTTCTCCTATACATAAATGACCCACCAAATGCTTCGCAATTACTCAAACCCACACTATTTGCAGATGACACTACATACGTCTTCTCCCACCCGAGCCCAGTCACGCTAACCAATACTGTAAATACCGAATTACAGAAAATATCTACCTAGATGAGGACTAACAAACTTACACTAAACATTGACAAAACCTACTTCATTCAGTTTGGTAACAGAGCTACAGATGTCCCTCTTAACATAATGATAAACAGATCACCTATCACAAAGCTAACAGAGGGAAAATTCTTAGGAATCCACCTTGATAATAGACTCAAATTTCATACACATATACAACAAATTTCTAAAAAAAATTTCCAAGACTGTAGGCATACTATCGAAGATACGGTACTATGCTCCACAGTCAGCCCTCCTGGCCCTATATCACTCACTTATTTACCCCTATCTCACCTATGGAATTTGTGCATGGGGCTCAACAACAATTAACCATCTCAGACCACTAATTACCCAACAAAAGGCTGCAGTCAGAATAATGATAAATTCCCACTACAGGCAGCACACTCCACCAATATTCAAAACTCTAAACCTACTCACCATACAAAACATCCATACTTATTACTGCACCTACTACATACATAGAACACTTAACTCTGATATAAACCCTCCCCTCAAACATCTCCTTGCCAACCTCAACAGAACACATGACCATAACACAAGGCACAGATCACACTTTGATGTCCCTCGTGTCCCCCTCACCCTATGCAAAAACTCAATGCACATAAAAGGCCCCAAAATCTGGAATTCATTACCTGTGAATATAAAAGAAACACTGTTTATAAATTCAAGTCTCTTCTCAAAAATCACTTACTCACCCACAACTAAATAAATACTGAATAATTGTATCTCTAAAATGTTTCTCATTACTGTATCTCATAAATGTCTAACCTGTGACCCAATCAAACTTTTAATTACATTACCTAACAGGTTACTCCATACTATTGAATGCACAACAACACAGTAAATGACCATATGACCTGTCTTTGTAATGCTCATTTGTGCTAAATTGTTATCTGTTTACATTAATGTTTTTACCACTGAATATATCATTGCTTAGTTAATCTTAAGTTAATTTTAAGCCTGCCCATAATGCTCAGCATGCAAGGGGCTTTGGCATGTTGCTCTGTTAATAAATGTATTCCTTGTACTTCTCTGTATCATGTTCAAATTAATAATAAATAAAGAGCCCCTCACCCATGACTCAAGAAATTAACCCCCTATTCTTAAGACATTATGTTGATTAAACTGTTTACATAATTTTTAATACCCAGGAACACAAAAGCTTCTTTTCCCTGTAACCTTTCCTCAACAGCTTGACCACTCTCACCTCCTGCAGCGCACTATGAATCTTGCATCATACGCTCACCACCGCAGCTACAAGGCCATCGACACCTTCAATTTGACTGCAGCCCGCTGTAGACACTTTCTCCAGGGAGTGTGCCTGCCATTTTCACCAGGTGAGTTGCAGGTACACTGAGAGGAGTGGAGGATGTAGGAAGTAGTGAGGGGTTTGGACAGCCATGTGACCATAGTAGTATATAAACCCTTTGACTGTTGCGGCCGTATATATACGTCTTACGAGGTACCGTGTTTGACGTATATATACTCGTAAATTCTAGCGGCTTCAAATCAAGCAGGAGAAAGCTGGTAGGCCCACATGTGAGAGAATGGGTCTGTGTGGTCAGTGTGCACCATACAAAAAAAATCCTGGAGCACACAGTGCATAATGAGAAAAAACAAACTCCGACCATTTTTTTTTTAATTAAAATGCCGACTTTGTGGTCTATTTTCGTATAGTATTTATGGTTGTATTCTCGTTTTCTTGGTCTCATTTGATAGAATGAAAAACATGTTATAGAAATAGAGGTGATTTTGATTGATTTTACTATAAAAAGAACCTGGAAATGGAGCTCAAAGTAGGGGAAATGTTTGATTTTTGCCAATGTTCAAAAATAAACAAATGATGTCATTGTCCAATAAATGTCCAACTAGCCATTCTGATATGCAGTCATGAATGGGTTGATGTTATTTATACAAGTGTTACAGTATTGCAGTAGTCTGCATAATAGTAAGTCTTCTATTTTTTTGTTTGAATAAAAATTCAAAATAGAAAGCAAGAGTAATATCAGAGGGGCCTGCGAGACATGACTGATGAACAAAGAAAATGTTATTTTAGAGCCAGGAATGTCTGCATTGTTCATTCTGGACCTTATTTTGAAATTGTCATATTTTTTAATTTTCTGAAATTGGCCAAATTGCAAATTTCTATCCACATTATTGGGTAGTTGAAATCAGTAAATGGGCAGTTTCTTTTACTCAATCGATAGAAAAAATGGAGTTCTAAAGAAATAGCTATGAGTTTGGTCGACTGGAACAACGGAATTAGCCGAAAATAGGGCTCAAAGTGGGCGAAATCGCCAGTTTGTAAATATCGCCAAGGTCGCTAACTTCGCGAGAGCATAATTCCGTCAGTTTTCCATCAAATTTCGTTGTTTTGGTGTCATTACAATCGGGGAAAAGATTGTCTATCATTTCAAAAGAATTTTTTTTTTTTTTTTTTTTTAAATTTTGCGACACAAAGGGGAAACACCTCAGGATTGGGGGTTGCAACAGTCAAGGGGTTAAAAAGCAACTCTCTGAGGACCCAAGTAATCTAGTTCTTTGTTATCATTACACTATATTTGTGGGGAACTGCTTTTCTGTAAGGGTCATACAACACCTGGGAAATAAAAGGTAGGTTTGTTTGACATGGGAGGTTATCTCCAATTCCTTGAAGTGTCCAGGTCAGCAGAGTGATTAGAAGGTAGTCATGCCATTGCCAAACCATTGGCTGGCTTCAAGTTTTACAGAACTTTTTTCCTTTTTATTATAATAATTCCTTTTTGATTATAATAATTTTCAGAACTGGAAGCACATCTAATGGCCAAGCATTTGGGGTAAACACTGATCAACTAGTCTCTTGCTTCCTTTGATTCTCAGGCTCAGCTGTCACATTTCCTTGGATTAAGAGCTGCTCATTGACATCAAGGCACCCTTGAGGGGTTGGCAGGGATAGACAGGAGTGGGTAAGAGGCACTCAAACATTGACCAGAGGAGCAATGTATGTGGCATAGCTTCATGGTCCCCATCTCTTAGGTTGGGAACTACTGATCTAGTGTATACCACATACTACCCAAAACCTAAAAAAGTACGGTTCAGTTGCCATCTGACTGGCCCCTGGCCTTCATATACACAGCCTCTTCCTGTGTACTGTAATTAGTGTTCTCTCAGTACAGTCCTCTTGAGTTCTGGTACCAGTCTTGAGATTTTTTTTTTTTTTCATTAATTTAAATCAGGGTAGAAGTGCTTAACCAGTAGGGGGTTGTAGTGTCTGGGGTTTTGAACCAATGAAGGGGAACACAAGTAGTTCATTGGAATCTTTATATGCTTTGCTATGCTTGATCACACATGGGCTCTGTGCTGGCACTGCATATGCTAAGATGAAAGACAATTCGTAGGTTAACTAGCTTTGCAGAGGCTGTATGATTGCTAGGTACTTCAACTGATTTTATGTACAGCATTATTACATTAACTGGGAAGTGCAAAACCTGTAGAGGTTGTTATTATTATAATCATTAAGTGCTGAACCCATAAGGGTCATAAAGCTGTAGAGGTCATGCATGGGAGGTAATCAAATTTGATCCAAGGAAGGAGACAGTATCTTTAATTCCTTATGTAAGAGACCTTTACCAATCAACGGAGTGCTGATGCTGTGGAAAATATATAGTATATTTTTCGAAAATAGTGTATTTTATATGTAAATTGATAGCCTATTTTGTATTTAATAAAAATTATATTATAAAAAGTGGGAAGCTCGGCGCCTGCGCTGACGAGCAGAGGAGAGTCACCATGTTTAGAATGAGCCAAGAAAAATGTTAGTGAAAATAGGAAGAATTTTCGTCGCTCTAGAGCTTATATTGGGCTTACACTTCTCAAATAGGAGCCGAAATTGTTGGATGTGCATTTCTGCATAAGGTGAGAATTCAGGCGACTGGACAGGACAACTCCAGGAACCTCAGATAAGCTGCCTAAATTAGGTTTGTAATTCTGACCAGTAATATCATCATTAATTTAGTTAGAGGGGGTCCTGTACATGACACACAGTAATCTCCAGACAAATTGGTGAGTGTTATGATTATAAATTCTCCTTCTGTTATATAAATGTGTATATGTAATCATTTATTAATTTTAATATACAGTCCACAAAATTATAATTTTACCAGAATTCCTGGTGATGTACATTTCATTTGCAATTAATATAGGTCTAGAGTAACTTGTGGATATGACAGTTGTAGGTATTGAAGGGGGACATTTTTTGTGACCTAGGTGTCCCAAAATTCCTACTTGTCTATGTAACTGATAAATAATAGTTTGTTACCATTTACTGGTATGTACCTTATGAGTTACATCCAGATAAATGTAATTTTCCACAGATGCTATGCTTGCTCCCTGATTTTGCTATTTTTATGGTTTCTGCAACATCTTGCCTGCCAGAATATATTTCTTGTTAGATCATCTTACTCCCTCTATTTTCATTACTGTGTAAATCTCAGGATTGTATTTAAGTAGCAGCATCAGGTGGGTTAGCCATATCAGATGAATGTGGGCTGTATCAGGTAACATAAGGTTTTATAACTGAGCTATATCAGGTGTGTGAAGGTTATACCAGATTGGTGTTTCAGGTGGTGTCGAGATGTGAGGGCAATGGGGAGGTGGTGTACCATGTAGAGGGAGAAATCAGTGCCATTTGCACCAACATACTTGCCAACACCTTTTCTCCACACTTTTCACCAGATATTAGGTAAGTGATGAGGCATGATCAGTAGTTGGTGAGCATGTGTGGATGATAGAGGGCAAATGATGAAGCGTAATGGATGGGGTATGATGAGTGAGAATGAGGTTGGAAAATAATTGAGGCAATAGGTGATGGTGGTTACATTGTGGAGCTTGAATATCCAGGAGGCTGATGTGAGCAGGTTAAATTAGTGAATGGAGACAAGTTATTTTTAATGTATGTGCTGCTGGAGTGTGAGGAAGGTAACATTTATGAAGGGAAATTTTGGTTAGCCAAACCAGTCCTGGAGGTGGGAAGGACAGTGCCTGTACTCTGAAGGGTGAAGATGTTGCAGTTCAGAGGGCCATCTAAATTGTGATGTCATTACACTCCTGGTAAGATAATTGAATGATAGTGTTTCCTCATTCTTGGGTCACTCTTCCTTGGTGGAATAATAATAATTTATCAGTATTAATGTGTGTCCAGTTAACGTAACAGATAAATCACTAGTACATGAAGCCATTCTGGTTTGTACCAATTCTTTCCCTTCCAGCCCTTGATGTGGGTGTGTCAATCAACCACTGAGAAAGGAAGCAGAAGGGCTTCACTGTGGCTTCCAGCTAACTTAGCAACGTGTAACTTATTGATCTGTATAAAAAAGTTGCATTTTTATTAGTTATTCTGTTTTGTATAGATCTTGTTATTCCTTTTAGATATATATCATTGTGATGAATAGAAGTATGTTTATCAGAGCAAATATGTTAATCTTTTTTTTTTAATCTTTTGGGCCATATATTGTACATTCTACTGAGGACTCTATGGCTGTTTTCTTATATACATGTAGGACACACTTTACCATGTATATTATAATTTACATATTTTATATATACACATACATGTTATATATGTATTATTATATAAAAAATTGTGTGGTGAAGGCTGTCTTACATGCAAATTAGGAAAACAGCCATGAAAATTAAATTACAGGTATATTTTAGCTTCCAGCTGAAGTCCTAAGTAAAATGTGTAACAGGAAGGTCAAAATATATAGGGTAAGACGTCAAGTTAAAGCTAAATGCTGTACTGATGTAAGCCCTGTGCTGCAGGGCAGGAGAGTCATTGAAGCTAGTAAATATAAGCAACCTGGACCAGGAGAGAGTTCCAGGCAAGGACTTAATTTGCCAGAAATGCTCAGCATGACAAGGGGCTTTTTATATAGTAGTATGTTATTGATGTCAGCTTGGCCTGTATACCTTGTTCTTGTAGTAAATACACATATAATTACCCTCGATGTTCTGAACTTCCTTTGCATCCCTCATGGTTGAGGGAAAATTTGGGTTGTTGTGTTTTGTCAAAGGAACTGGTTCTCCAACAGCTGAGAGAAGATATGTTAATCAAGATTCGTTGTATCTGCAGAAAAGATGTTACCTTTGACCTTTGATATACCTTTGAAGAATTTCGAGAGTATATCTACTCTCTGAGCCCGGCCATGGGCCAGGCTCGTCTGCTCGCCTGGTCAACCAGGCTGTTGCTGCTGGAGGCCGCTGCCCCACATATCCATCACAGCCTGGTTGATCTGGCACCTGAAGAAGATACTTGTCTAGTTTCCTCTTGAAGGCTTCAACACTTGTTCCAGCAGTGTTTCTGATATCTTCTGGTAAGATGTTGAAAAGTCTGGGACCCCGGATGTTGATACAGTTTTCCCTTATTGTCCCCACCGTACCCCTGCTCCTCACTGGGTTTATTTTACACTTCCTCCCATATCTCTCGCTCCAGTATGTTGTTATGGCAGTGTGCAGATTTGGGACCAAGCCTTCGAGTACCTTCCAGGTATATATTATCATGTACCTCTCTGTCCTCCGCTCCATACATGTTATATATGTATTATTATATAAAAAATTGTGTGGTGAAGGCTGTCTTACATGCAAATTAGGAAAACAGCCATGAAAATTAAATTACAGGTATATTTTAACTTCCAGCTGAAGTCCTTAGTAAAATGTGTAACAGGAAGGTCAAAATACACCTACCATCCAACTTACGACCAAGCTTGGTTCCGACCAACCGGTCTTAAGTCAAAATGGACATAAGTCGAACCTTCGAAAATTGCAGACATATTGGGTAGGGCATAATGTCAAACCTTTCCTATATAAACTACCTACATAATACTGTAATGTAATGTACAATCATTATTTCATTCTTTTTACCATAATTTACTTCTATTGTTTTATTTTAATTATTTATGTACTGTATATAATGTATACATGGTAGTGAACTGTATTGTAAATTTTACATCGCATACAGTATCATATGTTACTGTTATCTTTATGTATTGTCGACACAGTGGAATGGGAGAATACCACTGGTAGTGTCATCCTGCCAGAATGTAGTATAACCTATACCCTAAGTAAAGAAAAACAACTCTGGAACATGTGTAATACATATCCGGCTGGCTAGCCAGGTGGCTGGGTCTGTGGTTGGCTGGGTGGCTGGGTTGCTGGCTGGACGGGTGGTTGGCTGACTGGCTGACCGAATGTGGCTGTCTCTCTCTGTATCTCTCTCTCTCTCTCTGTATCTCTCTCTCTCTGTATCTCTCTCTCTCTCTATCTCTCTCTCTCTGTATCTCTCTCTCTCTCTCTGTATCTCTCTCTCTGTATCTCTCTCTCTCTCTCTCTGTATCTCTCTCTCTCTCTCTCTCTGTATCTCTCCTTGTATCTCTCTCTGTATCTCTCTCTCTGTATCTCTCTCTCTGTATCTCTCTCTCTGTATCTCTCTCTCTGTATCTCTCTCTCTGTATCTCTCTCTCTGTATACTCTCTTCTCTCTCTGTATCTCTCTCTCTCTCTGTATCTCTCTCCTCTGTATCCCCTCTCTCTCTGTATCTCTCTCCCCTTCCTCTGTATCTTTCTCTCTCTCTTCTCTCTCTCTCTCTCTGTATCTCTCTCTCTCTGTATCTCTCTCTGTATCTCTCTCTCTGTATCTCTCTCTCTGTATCTCTCTCTCTCTGTATCTCTCTCTCTCTGTATCTCTCTCTATCTCTTTCTTTCTTTTTTTTTTTTTACACAGGGTTTGACAAGGTTAAGGATCCCTAGCTTTATTGACAAGCTATTTACAGGTTAAGGATTCCTAACTTTATTGGCAAGCTAAGAGCTGTTACCTACATCAGCTCATTTGAAAGCATTTTTATTGTTATGAGACATACAAATAGGGAACAAGATGAAGTTGGAGCCATCTGTGGGCCAGCATTTTCATTTGATCACCTGACTTTATCTCGTTGACATCATTATGCTGTACGAATGTGTTCCATACTCGAGTCATCCTGGGTATATAGGACCTCAGATGGAGTGAAGTTCTGGAGAAGGGTACAGCCAGAGTGAATTTTGCTGCTTTCTGCCCGTCTTGTGGCATAAAAGCTTGTTTCACGCTGTTCTCGAAGTGGATCCAAGTGTGGTACTTTGAAAATATTGGCCTTGTACATAACAGTAAGGCCACCCACGTCCCTCCTTTGTTGAAGGCTCTGCTGAAATGACAGATCTATTCAGGATGGGTCCAGGTGAGAGATGAGACGTCTTGCTCTGTTCTCTACTCTGTCAAGCAGTCGCAGATGAGAGGGGGGGCAGGCAAACCAAGAAAGTGGAGCATACTCAAGGTGCGAGCGTACTTGTGCCTCGTACAGAATCTTGCAACCCCTACTGTCAAGTAGATGCGAGATACGGCGAAGCGCTGTAAGCTTCCTGGCTGCCTTGTTTGCAAGATTTACAACATGGTTCTTCATGGTTAGTTTGGAGTCAAATTTCACCCCAAGGATATCAGCTTCTCCAGGTGCCACCACCCTCCCATTCATCCTTACTACTGCACCAGCATTACCATCATGGTGCCTAGAGACGATCATCATTTGCGTTTTCTCAGGTGCAAATGTTACTTGCCATCTATTTCCCCAAGCTGATATAGCTCTCAGCTGGTGATTGATGTAGCTTAGAGCAGCTGGCATTTCTTCTCTTGGATAAGTGAATCCCAGTGTGCAGTCGTCTGCATATACATATGATTCTGGGATGAGATGAAGAAGGTCTTTGAAGTAGACATTCCATAACAATGGTCCCAGCACGCTTCCTTATGGAACACTTGCCCCAATAGGATGTCTTGCTGATTCCCGTTCCATTGAGAACTACACTTAGAGATCTACCATGAAGGTAATCACTGAGGAGACATAGCATAGAGCCTGCAATTCCCAGTGCTTGAAGTTTTGCTAAGAGCTTAGCCTTGGTGCCACACCCGGTCGAAAGCGCCAGCAATGTCCAGTGCTACCACACAGCTGACTTTGGATTCATCCAGTGACTGGTGCCACTTAGTGGAGAGGTTTAACAACACATCAGCAGCAGAGTAACCTTTCCTGAAGCCATATTGACGATCACAAAGTAGTGAGTGATAGTCAAAAAACTCTGTCATTTGTCTTGAGATTATTGTCTCAAGGATCTCTCTGTCTCTCTCTCTCTCTCTCTCTCTGTATCTCTCTCTGTATCTCTCTCTCTCTGTATCTCTCTCTCTCTGTCTCTGTTTTCTCTCTGTTTTCTCTCGTCCTCTGTCTCTCTCTGTCTCTGTCTCTCTCTGTCTCTGTCTCTCTCTGTCTCTGTCTCTGTCTCTCTCTGTCTGTCTCTCTCTGTCTCTCTCTGTCTCTGTCTCTCTCTGTCTCTCCTCTGTCCCCTCTCTCTCTCTCTCTCTGTATCTCTCTCTCTCTCTCTGTATCTCTCTCTCTCTCTCTCGTATCTCTCTCTCTCTCTCTCTGTATCTCTCTCTCTCTGTATCTCTCTCTCTCTGTATCTCTCTCTCTCTGTATCTCTCTCTCTCTGTATCTCTCTCTCTCTGTATTTTCTCTCTCTCTGTATCTCTCTCTCTCTGTATCTCTCTCTGTATCTCTCTCTCTCTCTCTCTCTCTCTCTCACAGGTAAGATAAGATAAGATTTCGTTCGGATTTTTAACCCGAGGGTTAGCCACCCAGGATAACCCAAGAAAGTCATGCGTCATCGAGGACTGTCTAACTTATTTCCATTGGGGTCCTTAATCTTGTCCCCCAGGATGCAACCCACACCAGTCGACTAACACCCAGGTACCTATTTGCTGCTAGGTGAACAGGACAACAGGTGTAAGGAAACGTGTCGAAATGTTTCCACCCGCCGGGAATCGAACCCGGGCCCTCCGTGTGTGAAGCGGGAGCTTTAGCCACCAGGCCACCGGGCCACACATAAGTTAAGCTATCATACATAGTATAAATTACCTAGGATAACCAAAAAAATCCAGACAAAGTGCTATACAGTGGATCTGTGCTCCAGTGCCCTAAATTAATAATAATATTAATAATCATTATTATTATTATTACAATAATACATTGTACTAATATTAATAATAATATTATTAAACTATAATATAATAGTAGTGTCCACTCATTACTTACCTAAAAATATCTGTAGTCTTAATGTAGAGTGAGAGGTGAGTAAAGAAGATTAAATGAATAAATGAGAGAGAGAATGAGAATGTAGAATATTCACGAGTTATGTAAACAAACGTTGTTGTTGTTACCAGCCCGGACACGAATGGTTCCTGTTCGCTCAAAGTTTATTCTCTATAAGGATTACAATGCTGAGTTTACAGAATTTGGTTATTGTGTGGTTTACATGTAGTAAAATACTAATTACAGAGGGGGCCACTAGAACACCTAGCATGGCTAGGTATTTCGGGCAGACTTCGATTAATTCTTAACTTTAAAATATTACAAATTATGAGGTAAGTTGGTATTATGGCTAAGTGACTAAATACTAGTTTGCGAGTTAGCAATGTGAATGCTTTTGTTTTGGCACAGTACATAGTTTCAGTATTGGAGTATCACAGGCCAACTTATGACTAGTTAGGATTCATTATTTTAAGATTGAGATTAATATTTCTGTTTATGGTCAAATGGGTGAGTGAGTGTGTGAACCACCAGGCGGTATTCGTGTAATTAGTTGACGGGGTGTATCAGGGAGATATGATGTTTTCTTATGGTAGTTTTGAAGGTGATGAATGTGTCTGCAGTTCTAGAGTTTTCAGGTAGGGTGTTCCAGATTTTAGGGCCTTTGAGATACATTAAATTTTTGTAAAGGTTTAGTCAGACACGGGGAATGTCATAGAGATGTTTGTGTCTGGTGTTATGCCTGTGGGTTCTGTCACAACTATCAAGAAAGCATTTTAGGTCAAGGTTAATATTGGAATTTAAGGTCCTGTAGATGTAGATTGCACAGTAGTAAGTGTGGATGTACTGAACAGGGAGTAAGTTTAGATCTATAAAGAGTGGGGGGGGGGGCGTGTTGCCAGGGATGGGATTTAGTGATTATTCTTACTGCAGCTTTTTGTTGGGTTATTATTGGCTTTAGGTGTGTTGCTGCAGTTGATCCCCAAGCACAAATAGCATAGGTGAGGTATGGATAAATAAGTAAGTGGTATAGTGTG